GCTGTCTCCCCCTGCCGGCCGGAGGATGAATGTCATTTTTTTTGTTTTGTTTTTTGTTTTTTTTTTTTGCCTTGAATCAACCGGCAAGCAGGATTGGCGGTGAGAAAAGAAAATAACAGGTTTGGGGCCTTTGGCTAGGACGTTTCTTAATCATGCACACACAGAAATGCATATATATGTGCCTTCCCTGACTTCAGTTACTTCTGGAATATTCATCTAAATTCCCAGCACACAGGGCTACCAGAGAGAGCCCGTCCTGAGAGCCTCGAGTTTCAGTGCGGAAAGATTCCCCTATCTTGGCATCTGCTTCAAGCGCACTTTTTATTCTCCAGCACGTGGCAAAGTGCTGACCTCCAGCAAGTTTTTAGTTACACGGTAAAAGCAAAACGAAATCCACTGACTGCACTCTCCTGTTGCCTTACTTTTTCATTGCTTCCCCAGATGCCCAGATACTTCCCCAGATGCCTGACATCATCGTTAGTTAGTAATCTGGGTTTATGTAAGCCCCTTTCCTGGAAAGTTTTCTTTTTAGGGCTGGGGATGCAGCTTAGTGCTACTGTGTCCACACTTGGAAGGGAGAGGAAGGAGGACCAGAAAAGTGCAAGGTTATCCTGGGCTGCAAGGTGAATTGGCAGCCAGCCTGGGTTGGATGATACCTGAGGGGAAAAAATGTAAACAATTATTTAAACATATGAAAACAACAGTTATAAAGGTGAAAGCTTTATAAATGAAACGAGAATGCAATTTGAAAACTGCTTCCCAAAACAAATTCTATGCACCCAATTATTTTAGCAATAGCATTTTATTTATGTAGGGTTTTTTGTTTTGTTTTGTTTTTTGTTTTGTTTTTTTTTGAGACAGGTTTTTCTGTGTAGCCTTGGCTGTCCTGGAACTCATTGAGTTACACCTGCCTCTGCCTCCCAAGTGTGTCCCCACTGTCCAGTATAGTAATAACATTTTATGACCTTACTACCCTGATTTTGTGGGAGGTGGAGGGGCACCTAAAAATATTTGTATCTCGATGGGTGTGATGGCACATGCTTTTAATCCCAGCACTTGGGAGGCAGAGGCAGCTGGATCTGTGAGTTCCAGGCCAGTCTGGTCTACAAGTGAATTCCAGGACAGCCAAGGCTACACAAGAGAAACCGTTTAGAAAAAAACAAAATCTTTCCTACAGGGATGGAGAAGTGGTACAGCAGTATTCATTTGTTGTAGCCCATTGGATCTGCTTCTCATTTAACTGGCTCGATCCCCAGCACCCACACAATTGCCTACAACACCCTCTCCTGACATACCACTGTGGTCATACATGCATGAAGTGTGCACATTCATGCATACACTCAAAACAGAAACAATTTTGAAAAAAAGAATCTTTTGCATTCATTATCAGAAAGAAATAATTCCAGAATTTATTTTTTTCTTGGGTTCAAAAAAAGTATTACTCAAGTCCTGCTGCATGCAAAAGCATTTTTCAAATTTCAACAACATCAGAAACCAAACTCTTCATGACCTTCAGAAACAATTGCCTTCTGTTTTGAGGATGTAGCACAAGAAATCTTCGTTAGCATTTTTCTAGGGCCAGGATAGATGTTTGGAGTTTCTGGTTCTCAGTGTATTTGTAGCACAAATAATAAAAACCCAGAGACAGATATTGGAGTTCAAACTGAAGATCAGAAAAGCAAAGTAGCCAACCTCTAAAGAGTTCTTAGCTCCACTAAGGCTCAGACCAAAAAGGGCTGTTCCTGTCCTTAGTGTGACTGCTGACTGACTTAGCTCCCATCCTCTCCCACCTTAGATTCTTCTCTAGTGCTGGGATTAAAGGCATGAACCACCACCACCACCATCACCACCACCACCACCCAGCTTCTATGGCTAACTAGTGTGGCTGCTGCGATTAAAGGTGTGAGCCACTACTGCCTGGCCTCTGTGGTTAACTAGTGGCTTAGCTCTGCACTGTGATCTTCAGACAAGCTTTATTTGCTGTAGCATAAACAAAATATCACCACAGGGTACCCTTAGAGGCCAGGTGAAGACGTCTTATCCCCTTGAAATGCAGTTGTGGGCAGCTATGAGCTGCCTGGGCGCTGGAACCCTGAGCTCTCTGAAAGAATGTCAAGTTGGAGTAACTGCTGAGCCATCTTTCTGGGTCTTCCTTTCTCTCTGCTGGGGAGCAATTTCAGGACCTCACATATGTTAAGCAAGTGCTTTATCACTTAGCTACATCATGACTACCTTTTTTTTCCTGTGTTGGGAAAATAGACATAATCTGAAGTTTACCATTTTGACCATCTTGAGTTATATGTCAGTGGCACTGACTGCATACATTGTTTTGTGTAACTCTCACAACCACCTAGTTCCAAAACCTTTTCATCATCACCCAACCAGAAACTATACCACCAAACAAAGACTCCTCACTCCCTTCCTCTCTGTTCTAGTACCTTCTATTCCACACCCTGTGTCTCTTAAGCTCCACTGTTCTCAGTAAGTGAGATCATATGGGGCTTGTCCTTCTGGAATGGGACAAAAGACAAACTCTGGGCCCCTAACCTGTTAAGAATGAAAAACACAGTATGTATTTTCCTCTGCCTGCTTTCTTTGTCCTTGTCCTAAAACACAGATTAACTTATGAGGTCCAAGTGTTTACAGACTAAGAGCCCCTTATGACCAAACCAAGATAAAAACTGGGGGTGAAGACAGCTAAATAGATAACAAACAAAACGGACCAAGAATTGTTACCAGAAAACCAGTACAAATAAAACCAAGTGTACATAAGCCCTTTAACTTCACCAGCTCTTACCTTTAAAATCACAAGTTTGCGGGGCTGGAGAGATAGCCCAGTGGTTAAGAGCACTTGTTCTCGAAGAGGACCAGGGTTCAGTCCAAGCATCCATATATATGGCAGCTATTAACACAAAGGTGACATCCAGACCCAGACCCAACACTCACTTCTAAATTCCTCAGGCACCAGAGAGACTTGTGGTGCAGAGAAGACACACATGCAGACAAAACACTCAGACACAAATCTAAATTTTATTTTTTCCTTCGAGACAGGGTTTCTCTGTGGCTTTGGAGGCTGTCCTGGAACTAGCTCTCGTAGACCAGGCTGACCTCGAACTCACAGAGATCTGCCTGCCTCTGCCTCCCGAGTGCTGGCATTAAAGGCATGAGCCACCACCGCCCATCAAGAAATGTTTGCCTAAGATGATCATCCTGGGTGAATTTGACCCAATGGGCGTCTGTTTCGCCTGCCTTCCCCTTGTCCCTTTAGCACTATCAAAAGGCCAGGGTGCTTTTTGACAATATTAGGTGTGACTTAGCATTTCCCAGATGTAGTTAACTGCTAGCACCAGTGTAAGCCAGGATGCTTGCACACAACTTCTGAAACTGCTTATGACAAATGGGCAATTAACCAAACTTTAGCTCTCCCAGGAGAACAGCAAAAGCTTAGTGTTTGTTTTGCTCAAACAGGCAGCTTGGTGTCTCTGGCCTGTGCTAGCTCTCTTCTTCAGCTCAAGTTGGCTGGCTTCTTCAGTTGAGGTCAGTCACATGAAGGAATTGTGCCTATTTTACTTGCAATCTATGGCTTGGTCTCATTTCTTTTGTATGCTGCAAGACACAGTCATCGGATATCTCTTTTACTATTGGTTTACTTCACCTAATGCAATGTTTTCAAGGTTCACCTATTCTGTAGTGTGGATCAAAACCTTACTTATTTCAGTGACTCGGTGACA